TCTGAACTGCCCAAATATCATTGCATGCAGCATGGAACGTGGAATGCAACAGGAAGAAATAGAGATCAGTGTGGTCACAGGACTGTAATCTCATTGAGATCACGGAGACATAGAGGGACAGTTCCCATGACTGGAATGCTGCCATGTATGGTTATGTACTTTTTAGGAAAGACAGATCAGCTAGGTGAGGCAGCAGAGTTGCTCATTATGTGAGAAAACAACTAGAAGCTCCATCCCTGAAGCTCTGCCTAGCAATGAATGATGAACAAATAGAGAGCTTATGGGTGTTAAGGGGCAGGCCAGTTTGGGTGATGCAGTTATAAGCATTTTCTACAGTCTGCCTGATCAGGATGAGGAAGTTAGTGAGGCCTTCTTCAGACAGCTTAAAGTAGCCTCAGGATTACAGGCATTGGTTCTCATGGGGGACTTCAATCACTCGTATTTGCTGGAAAACCAACAGTACCATGCACACACAGTCCAGGAAGATTCTGCAGTATATGGAAAATAACTTTCTGAAGCAGTCAGTGGAAGAATCAGAGAGAAGAGGTGTGCTGCTGGATCTTGTTCTTACAAAAAGGATTGACTGGCTGGGAAAAGTGAAAGTTTGTGGCAGTCTTGGATGCAGTGATGATGAGATAGTGGAGTTCAGGATCTTACATGTGAGAAACACGGCAATGAGCAGGACTGCAACTCCAGACTTCAGGAGAGCCAACTCTGTCCTCTTCAAGGCTCTCAAGTTAGAGCATTGGAAGGTAAGGGAGACCAAGAGAGATAGTTGACATTCAAGCACCACTTCTTTGAATCCCAATTGGATGCACCCGCAAGTGCTCAGGGAGATGGCAGAAGTGACTGCCAAGCCATTCCCTATCATCTTTGAAAGGTTATGAAGAAAGGTCATTGTGTCCAGTTCTGGGCTCCCCAGTTCAAAAAAGACTGGGATCTCCTAAAAGGAGGCCAGTAGAGGGCTACAAACATGATAAAGGGACTAGAGCATCTCCCATATCAAGAAAGTCTTTTTGTCCTGGGAAAAAGACTGAGGGGGGATCGGATTAATGTTTATAAACATCTAAAGGGAGGTGAAAGGCAAATGAATGAGGCCAGGCTTTTCTTGGTGGTATGCAGCAATAGGACAAGAAGTGATGTCCTAAAACTAGAAGTCCCATACCAACAAGTGGAAGACCTTTATGGAAAGGATGACAGAGCACTGGAACAGGCTGCCAAAAGAGGTTGTGAAGTCTCCATCTGTGGAGATATTCAAGACCCATCTGGACACCAACCTGTGGGACCTATTGTACCTGCTTTAGCAGGGGAGTTGGACTTGACCAGGTTGATCTCTTGAGGTCTCTTCTGACCCCTGCAATTGTGAGAATTTGAGAGGTGCTTGAGGGCTTAAGGAAAGCCATTTCCACTCCAGTCTCCAAAAAAGGCAAGAAGGAGAAGGATAGTGATCAAAAGATTTCAAAGACTGAGTGCTCTCATACACATGAGAGTATATGTATAAATATAAATAAATATAAGCAGTTTATAAAGTCTGTGACTCTGCCAATAAGGCCATAGTATATCTAGATACTTTTCATTTTCTCATGCTTATCCTTTTGGTAAACAGTAAAGAGCAATGAAAATTGCTTTCTAAAATGAGAGAGGCGCAGATATTCAAAAGGCAGTGCCAAAGACACCTGTATAACTCAATCCTCCGCTCACTATCATGTAGTACTTTGTCACATACATCACAAAAACTCTTCCAAGAAACTGAAACAAAGTAAACGCATGTGCATTTTAGGGAACACTAGGGAAGATCTTGACAGACCAGAGCTTTGTGAATTGGATCTCAGCCTACATCCTATTGGAGCTTCAAAATCACACACAGTCTGTGAGTGATCATCACACTCAGGATGTAACGCTTCCGTTCTCTCACCTTTTATTGACCTGTTCTTTTTAGATAGCAAACTATCCAGAGTAAGATCAATAATTGTACTTGCATCCATACATGTGCTTACAAAAAAATAAGCAAAAGCCCATTCACGCAGATATATAGATACACATTATTTATAGATAGATATGTGTATATATAAACATTTTTATCTATCTATAAAGTATAGTATCTAGGATAAAAAGAATTCCTTGTCAAAAGAAACCAACAGCTTTTTGGTGATACTGTATTACATACAACAAAAAACAACATATCTTGGCATTTTGAAAAGGATGCCCTTTTCATGTATGCTCCATCTCTTCTGTCTCTAGCAAGTAGGCCTGCAAAAGGGCTTTGATTATGTTTCTGATATATATTTTGTATGATTTTTGAGAATGGCTAAACAAAGCTCAGTCATCACATCCTCTCAATAAAGTGAAAAGATACCCAGAGAAAAAGAAAACTACTTTCATACAAGTTATTTACAGTTGGAGGTCATTGATTTCACTTCATCTAAATTCAACCACTATGTTTTTCATCTTGAAATAATTATTACAAAAAAAAAAAAAAAAAAAAGTATATATATATATATATGTTTATGTAATTCTTTTTATCACTTAGGTACCATCACAAAATAGCAAATCATACCCTTCAAAATACCAAAGAGTCCAAAATATTACAAGAAACACACACACAGAGAAAACATTCAATCCACAAAACACTTATCTGCCCCTGAAGCATATGCAGATCTCCTTTTCTGTTGTAATGATATCTTGCTACAAATATTTAGACCAATTAAAATTATTTCAATTTGAGTGGCAGCCCTATCTGCAGTGTTGTTCTAAAACAAATGCCACATTTTCTTCCTTTTATAGATTCTTCTTTGATCCCATGAATTTCAGTTACCTATCGTTCTTTGAGTTTTAGACGCCTCCCAACAACAAAACATTGGCAATCCATGCAATAAAATGACTGCTGTTTCTTCTTGTCATGAACAAACATAATAAAACCTCTAACAGCAAATCAATGTCTACACTTTGTTACTAGTGTAATTATGGAAGGAAGAGGCAAGCAAATCAATATTAAGATTATGAGTTCAAGCTTTAGGTTTGTCAGTCATTTCTAATAGCTGTTCATATTTCGCACATTCACTTGTAATAAAACAATTCTCCTTGTAACCTTCTATACAGAACCTACAATTACTTATAAACAATGCACTTCTGAATCCATAAAGTTTTAAGTATTCTCATGGAGAATCACAGGTATCACATCTCACCTGTCCTAAGCCAAGAAAGCTTGGTATAAATAGTGCAGAATTTAAAAGCACTATACAATAAAGATACCAGTGTCTGACAAAACCATTATTTCACTGAGAGGTATGATACTTTCCTCTGAAAGGCAATAAAAAGTAAATTCCACACTGCACTGTACATAAAGAACAGTTAAAATGAAAAATTTCTTCTGTGACATCCCATGTTGTTAACAATATAGGCAGATCAAGATAAGTGAGTGGATTTGGATCATCATCAGAAGACACAAGGCCATATTTGCCAGTCTATTATGTCATGTTTCTTGAATTCATGAACTCGAGAGTGCAATATCTTTTCGTTGACATGATGGAGAAGTTACACTTTATACAGACTCTAAATATAAAGTGGAGATAAATGAATTAAAACAGCAACCATATTGTTTCTTTAAAATGTTTTTATGCAATGTAGCATATGGATAATTTTGAAGCCTACAGCACACAAACCATTAAGAAAATAGCAATGGAAAGCAAACTGGATTGCCAGATGATTTACCTCAAATTAGCCCTTATCTTTGTAAACCAAAACCAAAGTAGAAGAACACGAGTGAAAAAATAATGCTTTAGAAATTCTTTAAAAGATAAAAGCAGCAAAATCACATGCACTATGTCTGGAATTGACAACTGATTCAAAATGTCATCCTCTCCCAAAAGTGATTTCACCCCATTTGGAAGAACCAAAATACTTAAGCACCAATTACTGTTTACATTTTTCTTCAATCCTTCCCAGCTTTTTAAAAAATTGGTTCAAACAGTAATTCTAAGAGAAAATGGTGGTGAGGTTATTAGAAAATGCCACAGTTACACACACACACACACACACAAAACTCATAATAACAATTTTATTATTTGACCAACCCATCATATAAATTAGCTGCATTGATCTAATTGCACTTATCTTTACTTACTAAAAATGTATATAATTTGGCACTTTCAAATCTGTGCCTTCACAATATGCTAATTATACAGTTCAGATGATCTGGAAAGAAATCCATTTTGCACTGATGATATAAGGGAGTGACAGTACAATTTACATTAGGAAATGTTTTCTCATTTTTCTCAAAAATTGGTTTGCACTCAGCCGGAGAAATCTAAATTCGACCAACAGGCATCCCTCCCTGTTCTCCATGGTTACAAAATAACATGACAATCTGAACGATGAACAAGGAGCACATAAGAATGGGTTACAAAACTCCTCTGGACACAGGTAGACAGGCAGTCAATGTTTTCTTCTGTAATCTGATTAAATAGATTATTATTATATAGAACAATATTGAAATGCTAGTAGCAAACAATTGCCAGTGACAATACTTGAAACATTTTGAATCTGCTGTTCCAAATGCTGAATACGGGGGCAGCTGGTCACTTCACATTCCTTATTTTAAGTGATGACTGCTAGCTGGAGAGACTACAATAAGGTTTTCCCTTTTGATTTTAGCAACAATATACTTACAGGTATGCTTTTGGCAAACATTTACCCGCAGCATTAATATCAACCTGTAAAGACTGAGCTTGAAAAACAGTAATTGCTTTGTTGTGATTTTCTTTTCTGCGTTCAAAGGATAGGGACAGCATCAACTGGAAGACTGCACAGTGAGAAAGCCACCTCTTAGCACATCAGCTACAGACATATAATTACATGAAATCTGAGGGCTAAAAACAGTCTTGATTTATTCATTTGGTTTTCAGCAATCTTGCCAGATATGTTACCAAAATAATAACAGTAATAATAATAACAAGCCAAAAACATACCCATGAGTCAGACTGCTGTGTTTTGGATTTGTGGGGATTTTGGTGTGATACACAGTTGTACAGATACAGCTGCACCACTGCTGGAATGTAGCCAGAGCCTACATAATAACAGTCAATCAGTACTAAACCCATACCTATGCACAGCACAGATAAACTTAACTCACTGTAATGATGTACCACAAATAAGACCAATTAGTATTTTCATTGACACAGTCTAAAATAATCTGTTGTTCTGAAATATAGATCCAGAGTTATTGTATATTAGTGAAAACAGAGGTTGAAACAAAGGAAAAATATCTACAAGGATGGGTAATTTGAGTAAATGATTACACTGTCACAACAACCACTTCTGCAATTTCATTTAATAAAGGATATTTATTTAAATAATTTAGAGTCAAACTATTAAATATTTCCATCAGACAATACTTGGCATTTTAGAAAGAACAGTGCGGGTATAAGAACACCACCTTCAGACAACCATTTTCCAGCTTCTATTTGCATTACAAATGTATTTCTCACAGGAAGGAGTAGAACCTGAACATCAAATTAAAAATAGCATTATTGGGAATCTTACAGAAAGTGTGAAGACAAAAGCATGTAAGCCTGAGGATAGAAAAAATCCATCATAATATAATTCTACAAAATAAAGATGAGGTTAATCTGAAACCTGAGAAAATTAATATCAAGATTTTAATTGACCTCAGCAGGTTTCAGATTAGGCCCTGCATGTTCAACATGATGGCTCCGTGTAATTTTGCAGTGTTTCTCAAGAATGTTCACCCCATTACTTCTTAACCTTCTCCCAGTCGTTTTTTGATTTCCATTGAAAACTGAGATGACTGGAATTTATCTCTGCAGTTCCTTCCTCCTTTGCACAAACGTACTGTCAAAGGCATTTCTGGAATATGCAAAAGCTAATTTTAATGATTGCTGTTCTTCTTTAATTAAAAAATAAAGCCATGATGAATGTGAAATTCTGCACTGATTTTCTCCGAAATATTTTGAGATGACAAATTGTGGTCTCTGCAAAACAAAAATTAAACAGGAAATCAGTGGTCATTTCCAATATACACACTGCATTCATTATGTCAGAACGTATCAATCCTTACAATAAGAACCACTCACATAGCATGCCAGTGGAATTGAAGGAATGAAGAACATCAGTGTGATCATTTTAAGTTCAATTCCAGCTTTGGAAGCGATGGCACATAGACAATATAAAATTTTCAAGACTATGTTTTGATTTCCAGATAACCAATTTTCAGGCTCTTCTGCTTTTCAGACTTCCTAGCTAGGATTCCATTGTAGATATTTTACCAAAATTTTCTGAAGTTTGCTTTTTATGGATAGAAAAAATGTGGGATTTTTGTATTTTTCTCCAGTAGCTTGGAATGCCAATAGCTTAACAGCTGCTGACAACTTAATAGCTCTTTCATTCTCACTCTATTCCACTAAATCAGAAAGCCACCCTCTAAAAAGAGTGAATTTGATCAGTATTTCAACCTGAACACTTCACTGTTTCAGGCTTCATAAGCAGAAAACTAGAATGATAAATTAGACTCAGTGTATCATGTCTCTGCTTGCTTTCCTGGCACTATCTGCTTGAAGGCAAGAGAAGTCAAAATCTGCCAGTTGCTGTATCATAGTCATTTTAATGATACAAAAGCATGTACTATGAACAAGTTGAGGATAACTCTTTACAGTTGCCTTTGTCTCTCTGTTCCATTTTTTCTTTTATTTTTCTTTTTATGGGAGAGAATCTTAAAACGTTTGCAGAAGTTGAAGAGAGAAAAAATTTTTAAAAATATTTAAAATATCTATAATGGAGACCGATGCTAAAGGCAATGTGTTCTAGAGAAAGTACAAGCATCTGATGTACCCCTGTTTGTAGTTATGGTCTCATGATTCAGGCATTTGACACTGCGTACCTGAGAAGTTCAGCATCTGTTCATGCAGCCTTGACTGCTCCCTTGCATTAGGTCTGTGAAACAGAACAAGGGAAAAAAATTCAATTCCCATAAATACAAAAGCTGTGTCACCTGTATTCAACACCAAAATGTGACACTGTACGTACACATATATGCAAATGATTACCTGATTTCTGCTGTCCAGTTCCAGAAATGCAGGCTGCTGTCAGTTTTCTACCTAATACCACTTAGGCATTTCTGCTGCACTACTGGCAGCCTCAGATAGAAGAATATCTGATGTGCAGGACTCCATCAAGTGAAATTCCAATTTGTCCTTTTTATCTCATGATTGTTGGACTCTGAACAAGTAATAATACAAAATATCTCTCACCTGCAAACGATTTACAATAACATAATCAATAATGTATTTGCTGTGATCCAATTTACTGTGCAAGAAAGTAGCTTTTGACATGTGAGTATATTTCAAAGGAAGAAATTCTAGTCATTATGACTTTTATACTACTGCCTTCTCCCCTTTCACATATGTTTACATTCATAACAATTACACCAAGGCAACACTATTCAGTTTTACAAAACTCATCCACTACAACCCATTGCACACAACAGAACATTTTCTTGGGATCTGCCCTAGAGCTTTAAGGTTTATACTGTTGCATTGGACTTCACTTTCCACTGGAAGAAAGTTGCTACCAATTATTTTACCTTCCCCACTCTGCAGACATTTTGCATATAATGACATTTCTGAGGCATCAAGTCCTTTTTCTGAAGTCAATAAATGTAGAACTACACTGTGTTTTGGACTTGCAGCTTGAAGAAGGGAAAAAAGAAGCTGTGTAAATGAATGCTGGCCAAAGGACTGAATCAAAGCACTCTAAATTCATGATCTAAAGTGTAATAATGGACAGTTACCAACAGTTAGACAGTGTAGGAAACTTGCTATTCCACCAAAACATTTTCACATATCTGAACCCTTAAATCTACATCATAATTTTTCCATACTAAATGACTTTCCTTCTCCTGAGCTGCACATTATTAATTAGTGAACATAATTATGTTGTAAATCAGATTATCTGTTGGAAAAAATAGAGAGAAGGTGGGCCAGAAAGGGGGGAAGAGAAGGGTTACATGGGCTATTTATGTACCCATGTATTACACACAGATGAAAGGAAGTGTAGGAGAAAAAAAGGAGCAACTTTCTGGGGGTTCCCAGTGACTTTTCCTTTCTCTTTATTGGAAAGGAATGCTCAAGGCTATGTAAGATAGGCAATGTAGGAGTAAAAGCTGCTTGTGCCTCCATTTCCTTCAATGAACCCTTCTCTTTTTACCTCATTTGATACTGTGTGTACCTTCAAGCAAAAATGTTCTTTCAATCAAACCATCTTAGTGTTACAAGTGCAAAACTAATTTACATAATAGAACAGAAGTTCATTTTAACTATACAGAATGAGAGCGTCCTTTTTTTCTTTTTTTTTTCTTTTTTTTTTTTTTTTTTTTTACAAGGGCCTTCTGGTTTTCCTCTTAGACCTTTCTTTTTGTTTCCACAAGACAGTATCAGCGAATCATAAAATTCAGCATTACTGCAATAACTCTAACAGTGCCACAGACTTTGCAACTGAACCACACTTACACACTCCATCTTTCAAGGACACCTACCTCCCTGCTGGCCTTCCAACCTCACAAGGGCCCATGCTCCATCATCACCCAGCTGGAAATCCAGACAGAATGGCTCTTTTATAAGTTTCTTTGCATCCTATTTCTGAGGCATCCTATTTCCCTTCCTGCACTGCTTCTAGCTTAAGAACTTCCATCCCCTCTACCTACAACTATTTTATAATATGGAAGAGAGCTCCACTACATACAGTCTTATTCCACAGAGCAAACCATCGGTCCTGTGTATGGGACTGAAAGCAAGTTTTATTTATTATAGCTACTTTTTAATGTGAACTTTTTCTAAGGCAAAGGTAGTTGAGGAGCTGATTGGCCACAAGCTTCTTTGTCAGGGGACAATACTGATCATACTGCATATCATTATTTTTTTTTTAAAACCTTTTTTTAAAGTTTCCTCCACTGTATTAACATTTGATATCGAAGTATGAAATAAAATGCAATTCAGCAATTGTGGCCACTTGACAGCAAACAGATTAAAAAAAAAAAAAAAAAAAAAAACACTAAAAAATACCTGTACTTGTGAGCAGGTAAAGTAAGAACAAGCATCTTGACTTTGCCTTACTCCAAAGTGTCCTCACCACAGTCTGTAACTGTTAGGCACTTTTCCAAACTATTTAAAAATAATGTAAGTCCCAAATCCAAATTATTTAAAGCATATATTCATTGATTAATATTTGCATGCACTGTATAATTTCCTGTATTCCAGAAAAACAAAACTACTTTTGCATAGCAATGGGAGTATTGGGTATGCCGATCATTTCCACTGACCATTCCAACTCAAATAAAAATTCTATTACAAAGTAATCTTATAGTTTCAACTAATAAAAATGTAAAAGTAATTTTAAACCAAGAGCTTTTCTTGAGTTGCACTGTTAATAAAATAAGTGTTTTGCATAAAAATATCTTCAACAGTTTTCCAAATGCAACAGATGGCTGTGCCTTCTCTTGTAAAACATGAAAACAGTGTTATGCACTTCACAAACAGTCCACGCATAAGCTTTTGTTTCAGGAGATTATGATTAAAGACAACGGATCTTCCAAAAGCCATGTGACATGTAACATCAAATGAACTTCACTTATCCCCAGTTTCAACCCCAGCTGTCACATGTATCACAAAACATTGGTGCTCTTATATTACACCACTTCAAATTTCTCCCAAACGATGATCCAGTCAGCAGAAAACTCTTCTCTAAAATATAAAAAGTCACAGTTGGTTGAAACAGAACATTTACAGGCCAGGCACAGAACACATTCACACATATATGTAGATTTTATCCATGCTGTCATTTGGTATTGGGGCATTTTCACTTAATTAATGGTGTGTGTGTGTTTCTTTTAAATGCTATAGTGACTATTATTGAAGTTCAAGCCTCTAAGTCCTGCAGGGAATGTCACATATCCTCTAGATGTCTCTGGAGATTAATTCTGAGAACATTGTAATTCTGAGCAGGATCCACTGTAAGAAGTCAATCATTACATTAGCACTATAACTTCTCCAATATTTGCTGTGTTGGAAGAAACAAAAGATTTTTCTGCCTGCAGTCTGAACTCAAAGCAACTTTACACGCTTTCATTAAGCTACTACTTTCTCCAAGGTGCATTCCCATCTAGAGATTTACCTCTACATTTTAGCAATAGTATAGTATGCATTTTTATAAACATTTCAGCAGCTAACAACAATATTCTGCAGTTACCCAGTATCTTTCCATATACCACCACTGGAAACCAGTGATGTGGGCCAAATCTGCAGGGTGGGACATTCTCGGTGGGAATTTTGCTTACAAAGCAAAAAATGTCTTTACAGTTTTTTCAGTACTCTTAGAATCATTATAGTAGTAAATCTCAAAATGCAAATTGACACATACTTTGAACACTTTATTTTATGGTGTTTACAATCACAGTCATGGAAGCAGACAAGTATTTTGTGGTAATATGTCCCCTGGTTTTGTAAGTGGTTGTCCCTTTGTATCAGAGCAACAGCTCACACAGATGAAATATAACCTATACATGCAAGCTTACTGATAGTTTGTAGAGAAAAAGGCAAATTTTATCCAAAGCTGGTGGAATCCCTTTGCATGGACGTCAGCTGGCTCAGAACAGCCGCACTGGAAACAGCCCCAAACAATGCGCCCGCATTCACACAGACGTCCCCAGCAGAGCACTGCCAGTGTGCTGTGGAAACGTGTTTTGGGAACCATTGCTCGGGCAGATGGCAGGCAAAAACTTAAATGAACATGCTTCCCCAAGAAGAACACGCAGATCTGCACTTTCGCAAGCTGGAAATGTTACAGAAAGTTATTTAATTGCAGGAATAGAAATGTCACACATTGTATCAAACACAAATCTGTACTTACTGAAAATAACTTAGTACTCTAGAGAGGTTCAACTGTTCTTCAGTGCTTTTGGTCTTCAACAATCAGTAGACACATTCGTTTATAATTTTCTTACTTAAAAACGCATCAGAAGCAGTGAATGTGGTCAGTGTTAAAAAAAACAAACATGACGAGTGAAGATGGCACACTGCCCTTGGCCAAGAGGAAGAGTCTGTGTGGCACAGTATAATAGTTACTAGTTAATTTATATGAGCCTTAGAAGAAAAATTAATTCGCGGACGATTTTAGCAACCTTGGTGCTTCTCCTGAAGTGTAAGTAGGGAGAAAAGAAAGAATAAAAAAGACACCTTTTGATGAGAGATTATATAGTCTCCACAATCGAGTAAATTTAGTTGCTGTTGCAAGAGAGGAATGTGATAGGAAATTTTACAGTTGAAGGAGAAATGTCACAGTATTTTGATAAGAGAACGATGAACTTTTTTTCCCTTGTGCCATTATCAAGGCGAAGTGAACAAAATACATCATTTATAACCCACTGCTCTACCATTATCTCCTGGTGAGACACTTGTTTTAAAACACACAAGGACCTTTTTTTCTCTAAGACTAAAGCTCTCTGTGAGGCTCCGTCTGCCTTTATAGCCATGAAAGAAAGTTGACACTTGTGTGGGCCAAAGTTTCCAGGCAACCACACAAGGGCACTTGTGCACCCTCCAGGTCACCACCAGTTCTGAAGTACAGAGGAAGCGTATGAACAGCGCACGTCCCTTTGATCACAGATACCATCAAAAACTGATGTGTGGAGAAAATCCTGCACTTGGGAAGAAAGTCACTACAGTCTGCTTGTGGCTTTCTCTTACCTAACTACACAGAAAGTAAACGCTAGCGTGTTAGCGCAAAACTGCTAAAATAATTTCTCTGACTAGTCTCTCAGTCTCTCCTTCTCCAAGGTATTCCTGAACTCTTTTATTCTGTTCTTTTTACTGTTCATTTCCGACATGACAGCATGGCTGTTTTGCTGTAGAACGCTCATTCAGCAAACCTATTCTCAAGCATGCAGTTATGTACCTGCAAATGTGTAGCAGAAAAAACCCAGTGGTGGGGTTTCAAGCACAGGTAATTTTATAGACCCAAGCAAAATTCCACACTACTTCCAGTCACACAACGTGAGCAGTGATCATAAAACAGACCTTTTAAGTTTCTGTTGAACAACACAGAACGTAGGTGTACTCCGAGTCCGCTGCTATCTAGTACAATCACTGTCTGTTCTAATAAAATTACACTGGTCATAAGACCAAGTGATCAGAAGATAAAAGTGTACAATTTTCTAGAGACCTTTAATCAGTCCTCAGATTGTTTATTTGTCTTGTGGTAAGGAAGTCAGAGTTAGTAATGAGAAAACCATTAACTTATTTTATAAAAACAAATGAAAAAATTGTTTCCAACAATGCCAGACGAATTTACCATACCCCTCAGGTTATTTTGCTACTCCTACATGCAATGTGTTTAACAGCTAAAATTCTTTATCTTGACTGTTAACACTGGTGCATTTGCTGAGTCAAAGAGGAAATAGACAGATTATGTGAACAAGGAGAACTCTAATAACAAAATAAAATGAAAAGTTGTTTATATTAAAAATATCCCACATTAACTTCTAATTAAAAAAAAAAAAAAGAAAAAAAGAAAAAACAAGCAACAAGTCTAATTATAACAAAACTTACTGATTCAAGATAATTTTGTCGATGCAGGAACACAGGATATATGTTTATGTAAATACTTATCAAATTACAGCAGAAGGTAACAGAACTTGAACTAATGGTCGTAAGTTTGTGCAAGTAGAAAGTGAAACAGAAAGCTATACATTTTAATTTCCAAGTTACTGGGAGACATATTCACAACCAAGTATATCAAAAGGATCCCCAAAACAAAAACTCACCACTATTTTCTTACTTCCTATTCATTTCTACTTAAGTTAAAAATGGACAGGCAAGGTTGTTTCTTCCCATTATTAAGGGAACATTCCAAAACTCCTGAACATTTTCATTTAGATAAAATTCCAGTTACTTATGTTCTGATTAATATATGCAAAAGCTTGGATCATAACTTAATTATGAAGATTAAGAAATATATTAATAAACCAAATTCAGGAAGAATCTGTATGGAGATGCATGCTATTATCATATAAATATTCATGTTCCTCATTGCACAACTCAAAAAAACATTTATTTTAATTGTAAGACATTTAAAATGTTTTGATGGATTATGCAATATTTCTCCTCCTGTTGTAGAAACACTGTCAGACTCATTTAGATGGATAGATGTTTGCAGCAAGAGAGCTTATTTATAATTCAGGACACCCAGGACTCTGAAATAAATGAGTTTTAGTGATACATTCTCTCCAAGGTTTAATATAAGGCTTATGATTTAATTGCCACACTCCAAAGCTAGGGGGCAGGTCAGCCTATTACCAAGCTCCTATATTTAACTTTGGTGGAGAGTGATTGGTCTTAGACCAACATGGTCTCTCAAAACAGGATGATAAGTTAATTTCACAGTTATCACAAAATAACATATGATATTAGGTGGTAGCGACATGATAACTCCACTGGAAACAATGGTAATTACATAGTAAATCGTGTCAATGATACTGCATTATCTCCTAACTGTTCAATTAACTCGTTTCACCATTGCATACTATGTTTAGAAAGTTGCTGATGCAATATTTCCGTATCATAATTGCAAAAAGATAGTTGAACAAGATAACACGCTATAATTTTAGAAAGTTTCTAATATTACTTGCTAAAACTCTTTCTGCTATGAAAAACAAACAAACCTTAAGGTGAAGGAGACCTGCGAACGTAGAAGATACCACTTGAAATGGAAATAGGTTGGCAAGACAGTCGTCAAACTAATTATTTTTTCTTCTTTCGTGCAGGAAATGAGACATTAATTCATAAATCTAATTCCTATAGGTAGGTATTGATCCAGCCAAATGGTAAAAGCCCTCAGCTATCATTAAAACAAGTATAAATTAAATCCCTGAAAATGTAACTTTTCCTATGCTGTGCAGACAATCTGATAAATGCGGATAAGTTTACAAAGTAAGGGAATACACTTAAATTACAAAATAGCAAAAAAGATAGGAACAAACTGAGCTTTTTGCTAACTCAGAATGCTGCATCTTCATCACTGGCAGAACAGGCTATCTCACCTTCACCCATACAAATCAAAAGAGCAGCGAGGTGACATAAAACGGAATAAAATGCTGCCTGAACTATTTACATTGTTATTCCCTTTCAATAATCAAGACTGCAGATACGATTTTCTTTGGATGGTTTCCTGTCTTGTTTATACATACACCACTGCTCTGTAATTTGAGCTTATTCTTAACCGCTACTTTTGTGAGTACAGAATTAAATCAACAGCTGGTAAAAATCAGAGTTACAGATAGTTTGAAGCCGAGGCATATTAAAGGCAATATACTGACTTACAGTATCTTAAAATAATGCTCAGGAACAGTGCTTTCTATAAATAAATAAATGACCAATACATATGAGTGAATCCCTAAATATATACCAATGCAACAGTTTAGAAATCTGTGTCTGATAAAAACGTTTTCAGTCACAGGCATTTTAGACACAAAGGAATTTCTGAAAATTTCCCAGATTAACTTCAATAGGAAACTGTGGCAATTAAGCATTCTTTAGCTTATGTGGCAACATTTACCTGCAACAGAAATACTTCAGAAGCATGAAGTTGTTTTTGTTGTATTTTTCAATTTTCCTTTGTGACAATAACATTTCATACAGCTTGTTTAGATTTAGAACATCTCTTTCAAGGCCAACTCCACCTACTTTTTCATCTCTGCTCATACTAGTTTTGTGGTTATAAGAATACAAAGGAATCTGCATGATTTTAGCGCATGACTCATTTCCAGCAAATCAACAAACGTACTTTCAATTTGTTATGCATGAGAGATGTGTAAAACTATAGAGGTTTGGGTCTCTGGAGGACAAAATAAGCAAAATATTCAAGCATTGTATCTAAATCATAACTGAAGTTAAACTCTAATTTTAACATACAGGCTGTACAGTGAATTCATAAATGCCAGGAAGGATTTTAAAAGCATCACACAAGATCCTGGGCCTGTCCCCAGCTGTCCTAAAAATCCTGTGCATCCTGGTACAGATTTCATTCTATTAAATGTCCAGCCAAATGATACTGAATAGGTACAGCCAGAAATGGCAAGAAAAAGTTGATTATCTTTTTGAAAAAGATGACAGAAGTCCCAACATCATTCTCTGATTTTAGAGTTTGTCACTGCTTGAGAAATTCTAATTCCAGTTACCTTACATGATGCAGTTCATGTAACCTTGCTGTTACACAGCATATTACACAGATGCCTGAAGAAACCAGCCTGTGCTCCATACAGTGGAAGCAGTGCTTCCACTCCACATTCCCAGTAGCTTCCTTTCTCCCAAAAGACACCACTCATCTCTACTTTCTGGGTTTTCCCTGTTGATTCTCTTGATGTGATGGATGACAGACAAGAAAATTATTGGCAGACAAGGAAATAAAATAAAGCCTACAACCCAGCCAAAACCTCTTCCAAAACAGGGAAGTCAATAAGGTATGGAAACGATTACCCAAAACTCAATCTCTTCCATGATAACTAAGCAACTGAATTTATAACATTCCTGGTCTTACATCCATCAAGTCATAAGATATGAGTACAAATATAAAAGGAAGAGAAACCAGCAAGAGTAAATACACGAAAGAAAAATCAACAAATAACTCACAAAAACTCCACACACGCACACATAAAATGAACTGCAAAAAGACAAACCAGGTACATTTGCCAGCTGAAAAAACAGAACAATGCAGTGGGTGAACCACATGCTGCTCCATATCACATCTTCGTTGGTTTAAAATGTTTATAATGTACTTATATTTCTCAGGTTGGTGTATCTCTCAATATATATAGAGAGTTACACTTTCTGAAACCAGACTGAATTGAAAAAAAAACCCACAAATCAGACGATCATGATGTGGTTCCCTCCTTTTCCAAGCTCTGCACCTTGCAAAACAGATAAAAACAATGCTGAAATTAAAAAATACATGCTTTTACTGTTTGGTTAGTGTGTTTTGTTTTTGTTTTTTTTTTTGGCTTCCAGCATCCTCCATAGAACTTTGAGAAACAAGACATTTCTTCTGAATCAGATATCCATTATCAATTTGGACAGAGAGCGTCTGAACCAGTATTATCTGCAAATGATTTATGAGGGCAGGTATTTCTCTACCTGAACGTTTTAGTGAAACCATAAATATCAGTAAAGACAGGAGCTGGGATTCAACAAAAAAGCCCTGAAAAATATTTTACATGGGAAGCTACTCTCATCTGATGAAAATTTTAATTCATCTTTTATATATTTTAAAGATTTTTGATGTCAGCCAAATCTGTCCTCCTTTCTTACTTATATTTTAAATTACCGCTGTACTTAGCTATTAATGAAACCTACTGAACTAAACCAACTGATCAGTTGATCTTAAAAAAGAATGCGTCAGAACCTGAAATGTTGCCCAGAAGAAAAGATTACATTCAATACCAGCTTCATAAAACCAAATCATTTAGAATAGTTTATGAAGAATATCCTCAAAATCCTAGTAGAAGCAGTATTTCCTTTTTCTTTATATAAACTACAACATATTAAGCTTTGGTAAGACATTTAACTTTAGGAGTTATCCATCTCCCCATCTCTAAAATGGTGTTGGTAATTCTTTCTCATGTCTGCAGAAGAATGGCTTTATGCAACAGCACTGTGTGGAGTACCTACCTTAGGAAGGACTGGGCATATTCAGCTGCTTTGCTTTTTTTTTCCAGACTCAATGCATTCAGAGCTCAAGATTACATTGGAAGCACTATACAGCATTATTAACACAAAAATTCAGAACCAATTTAATGACTGTTTTGATATATATTAGATTATTATTCCTTTCCAGCATGGTCTATTTTATGAAAAAGCTAAAAAGAAGAAAACACCACATTTCTCTGTGGAAATGAATTTTTAATAGTTAATTTCATCTTCTAGATATTCAAGATTTTCTGAGCCTCTTTTACAACCTTTACTTATTTCTGTTTATTATTTATATTCAATTATTTTTCAGTTATTATTAAGTTGATAAAAAGATTTTGCTATAAATTAATATGGAATGGTACCATAAATATGTTAAGCCAAACTAAATGGTATAAAAAAGCATGTATTTACTAAAATTCCATTGTTAACATAGAAATTTACATGTATACATTTCAATACTCTACTTTCATTTGTACATTTAGATAGTGATGTAACAGTAAACTGTGATGTATATGTGCTGGATTATATTCTGTATTTACAGTTCTAATAATGTATATATTAACCATGCTTTTTACCAGAAGATTAAAAGGTGTTGGAAACATAAAACTGAATAAAGTATCATGTCTTCCTATTTAAGATATCAAAGTATTATTATCCTTCTCTTACAGTCAATAAAAGCCATATACAAAACCTCTTGGACAGCCTCTAAGATTTGGACAGCTGGAGCTGGGCTTGATTTTAGAATTGGATTTCTGGTGTATTTCTCACTCAGCATTGAAGGACATTACCTGTGAAAAAAACAGATTCTAGACACCTAGATTAGGGCACCTGAAAATCAAGGTCAAATCTCAGGCATCATGGAATTGGCCGGTATCAATGGAAATAACTATGGCTTTACTACTCCAAAACCATCTGCTTTTAATGCCACATCTGTCAAAAAATGAAGAGAATGTTTTTATTAGCTTTGTATAATATGTTTAATGCCTTTATGATTAATTTGCTTGTATAATGTTAGTGCTATCAGCACTTAAGTAGGGTGATACAATAATATATAAATAAAATATTGTCCGAGCAATTCAGGGAAACAGCATTCACCATGGTAAAGACCAGGTTAGGAAGAAATACAAGATTTTCCTTCTTCATATTTATTGTATAAGGGAACACAGACAGCATCCACTCTACTGGTTGTAGATTTCATGAAAGGCAAAAGAAGAGTCCACAAGCCTTTCACATCCTGTTTTAAGCTCATCACTGAATGGTGTGTTCATCTCAGAGACTCTAAATACTTCCTGTCAAAATATAGTGTTCAGTCAGGGCTGGCAATTCAGCATGAGGAGGAGGAGGGAGAAATTAAATGACTAAAAACTGCTGCTATAATGGTGTCAAGGGAAGAGGAGGCTGCCCAAGAAGGACAGGGCTATGGAGCTGCACAGAAATCCTGAGAACATTTTGCAAGCAGCAATGCAAAAACACACTGATGCTACATTTTATAAATGCCATAATGTAAGTATGTGAAATAACACATGAGTTGCCAAGCAAAAGTATAATTTCTGCATACAGCTACAAATAACAATACTTAGGATTGATGGCTTTTGCATAACCCTATAAAGCAGATATTATGATGCATGGGACTTTAGTAATACAGTTACTATAGTGAAAAAGAAAACCATTTTATATCAAATTACATCCTCCTTCCCCTAAAAAGTATCTGAGTAAGGCAGAGATAATGTAAAGTTCGACTATCAAAAATGGCTTCATTAAGAACTTTAATGAAGCACATGGGAGCCATTTATTGACTCCTCAACTATTAAGACATAGCATTATTACTGCTTTAATAGTATTTCCATTTTCATTTAGGAAATAACTAATCAAGGGATCAATGTACCAAAGACTTTATTTTCCCTCCCATGGGTCACTGAAAGTACATTTTTTAAAATGCAAAAAACGTAAAGGCAATTCCCCCCAGTGCCATATCACATAAGCAATTTAAAGAAATAACAAGGAATGCTAAAGGTCAATGGCTCCCGATCTAAGCCATGTTATAAAACAAATGAAAATTGTTAGCGGTAATTCTACCTTTCTGGTGGAAGTAAGAGATCGCTTTCACATCAAAGAGGCTTACCTCCAAAGTATGCAAAGCACCTCCACCCTGACCTGCTGTCAACCTGTGAGACATTTCTATTTCTCAGACTCACTTTGAATGCAAACTACTGTTTTCCTGGTAGTTCTCACAGCTCCACTTCCTTTGAGGTACAGATGTGTAGCCAAAGAACCCAATCAGATAACATCCATTTACATATTTATAAAGTCTCCTGTAAAATCTCGTATCAATTGTTGCCACTATATATAGCCCTTTCAAAGTATCTTGTGGGCACAAGCGCTCCACTGCACTGCTCCCTTCAGGAGTCCAGATATATCGTATAATGTGATTTCAATGTAAATGTGGCCCATCACACAATCATACCACTTCACAAACTCTTTTCTGCTGGGGTAGCTTAAATCTAAACACACTCAAGCAGCTTGCTGCACTGGAGCAAGATTTCTTCCACATAAAAAAAAAGTCAAAACCCCCAACACAACAATGCCAAGGAAAAAAAAATCTGAACATTTTCTGCAGAAAGATGGGCCGTCTCCAAATCCTTGTGCCCTATCAGACAAATTAAAGTAAATCAAGCATGAAATGAAGCAGAAGAGCCCCGAGATAAGGCTCCTTTAAGTCGTTTACAGATTAGGATAGAGAGAGGTGCATCTGGTCTCTGGCAGTGAAGGAGGCCAGTTTCTCATCTCACAATAGCAGCCTGTGTATAGGATTACCTTACCTTGTCACTGACAAGGGAAAAAGCGCCTGCAAAATGTCTCTAACTAACTTCCTAATGTTCCCAGCTAAGTTCTCTTATTAAAGTATTAACTGTTACAATGATAGAAATAAATTTTGATAAAACAAAATAAAAACAGACACTAGTCTGATTTATGAGCTGGTTGGACACTGATAAACTGGATGCTCTGCTACCAGCCGATGAGCCTCTTTGCTTATCAGTCAGGATTTCAGTGCTAGAGACAGCAGATAACTTTCCAACTGGAATTAGGGATTCAGTGAACTGTCTGTTACTGGTTGGACTGGTGCTCTAGCAGCACCTAAAAGGGCCTCTTGTGCTATCAGATGGGATTTTGCTGTTGCACGCAGGGAGACGCTTCCCTGCTGCAATTGACAGCCCAGCTCAGAAGTCAGCATGGCTAATGGTTAAACTGGTTCTCCAGCAGTAAACAAGCCACTCTCCTCCTATCGGCTGGGATTCACCCTTTACAAATTGGAGGCCTTCCTTCCTCAGGAAGCCTGCCTCTCCTGGAGCCCCAGCTCCGGCTTGCGCTACTCCCCACTGAGGCCAGAGCCCAGCAGCACCAGAAGGTGATCTGACGACAGTGCCATGTTGTTGCAGCATGCAGAGCCGTGGGAAGGCTTCAGCCTGCAGCCACACCGCCCTGCTGCTGCCAGGAGCAGCCCCTCGCACTGATGCTGATGGCCCATGGGGAGACCCAGTGGGCAGCTGGAGGAGGAGGTTCCAGAGATGGCACAGAGCCCACACAGCCACGGGCACGCTTCAGCAGTGCGCTCAGGATGCTCTCCTGGTTTTCCTGGAGCAAGGTGGTCACTGCAGTTCCTCATTTTCTACATGATTTAACTCCACTATGCTCAACCAGTTGTGATTTGCATATGTATATTGTGCTTGGAGGAACTGCTCCCACTGTGCCTTTTTTTGTAGCTCTGCTGTGGTGTACTAGCCTACAAGTGCAGTAATTCTTCTGGGTACAAAGACAAGCACTAGCCCTAAAACAAGCCCAAGTAAGGGTTCTCTAGGCATTCCAGCAGTAATCAAACATATTTATTTAACAGGAAGAAAGCAGGAAGATGCAAAATATCGCATGTTCATAGCTGGATGTGTAAAAATCCTCCTTTCAGAGAAGTGAAATAACAAATCAACTCACAATTACTGTGTGCTTTATAAAATTCAGTTTTTAATTCCCTTTGTGAATACAGAAAAATACATAAAATGTTTCTTTGTTGTGAAAATCTTCCATCTGTAGATGCCAAAACAGTGCTACAAAGAAACCCAACACATAATGCTCTGCTTGTTAGACATCTTACCTCACATACTCACACATTAAGATGTATATGCCCTCTTAATTCCAGTGACAATGTATGTGTTCTGTCAGTATTCACTGTGTATGAACAGTGTTCCCATGGTGAAAATACATAGGATAATGCTTTTTAATTGACTTAAACTCTAGACTGAAGAAAAATCTCCCATCATTATAGTAGCATAGACTAGTACCCGACAAAGATAGCACTGATTTCCCCTCAAAGCTCTAAAAAAAGGGTGCCAGCGCAGCTCTTATTTGCCAATCGAGACTTTTTTAAAATAGATGTATTTGACAAATACACAAAGAATAAGACACAACCAATCCAGAAAGCAGAGTGCAATTTTACTGAACTAATCCAAAAGGAATGTAGGGCAGGATTGTAGGAAGTATGAAATTGTCCTTCGGGCTCTAACTGCCAGACTCTAAACCGATGGCACTTCAGGAAATCTTTCTAAATGTATGAAAAAATGGAAGGGAGGACACACTGAGCCTCACTCAAGAACACTTTCTCAACCAGCATTTTATATCACACTGAAACCTTTATACTCTTGTGGCACTTGGGGCTATTCTTAAGAACACCTCCAAATCCACAAAATGTTCAACTCAAGCCAAATGGAACTGGCCCTCCTAGTCTAATACTCAGACACCACCGGAGGTTTTTTATTGGTATTTTTTTCAAAACTATTTTTTATTTAAATATTTAAATATTTACTTTTATTAGCCAAGCATCGTTCACTGCTATGAAAATGAAATATAAGGATTACAAACAGTACAGATAGGTAGAATTATGCACGGAAACACTTTCATGGGAGGCACTTTTTATACTGTGAGGATACTGTTTGAGGAAGAAAAAGGCAAATTAAATTTCTTTCCTCACAAACTGTCAAGATTTTCTTCATTGGTCTCAGCATGTGCAACCAAAATCCCTCTTTCCTAATGAGAAAAGTGAACTTCTGTTTGTATGCTTAAAACAACGCCTGTTCTCATTTTCACTTACCTTTTAAAATATCCACTGCAAAACTGCATCAGTGTAACATCTTATGTTGACACATATGATGAAACAGTGATGAAAAATTATAAGAAACTGTCTAATTGTGCCTGCAATATGGATGAACAAATGATCTAAAATGTAAAAATATTCAAGCCCAGTGAGATTAACACAC